AGACTATAGACTAGACTATAGACTAGACTATAGACTAGACTATAGACTAGACTATAGACTAGACTATAGACTAGACTATAGACTAGACTATAGACTAGACTATAGACTAGACTATAGACTAGACTATAGACTAGACTATAGACTAGACTATAGACTAGACTATAGACTAGACTATAGACTAGACTATAGACTAGACTATAGACTAGACTATAGGACTAGACTATAGACTAGACTATAGACTAAACTATAGGACTAGACTATAGACTAGACTATAGACTAGACTATAGGACTAGACTATAGACTAGACTATAGACTAGAGTATAGAGCTAGACTATAGACTAGACTATAGACTAGACTATAGACTAGACTATAGGACTAGACTATAGACTAGACTATAGACTAGACTATGGACTAGACTATGGACTAGACTATAGACTAGACTATGAACTACACTATAGACTAGACTATAGACTAGACTATAAACTACACTATAGACTAGACTATAGACTAGACTATAACTACCTATAGACTAGACTATAGACTAGACTATAGACTAGACTATAGACTAGACTATAGACTAGACTATAGATTAGACTAGACTATAGATTAGACTAGACTATAGACTAGACTATAGACTAGACTATAGACTAGACTATAGACTAGACTATAGACCTAGACCATAGACTAGACTATAGACTAGACTATAGACTAGACTATAGACTAGACTATAGACTAGACTATAGACTAGACTATAGACTAGACTATAGACTAGACTATAGACTAGACTATAGACTAGACTATAGACTAGACTATAGACTAGACTATAGACTAGACTATAGACTAGACTATAGACTAGACTATAGACTAGACTATAGACTAGACTATAGACTAGACTATAGACTAGACTATAGACTAGACAATAGACTAGACTATAGACTAGACTATAGACTAGACTATAGACTAGACTATAGACTAGACTATAGACTAGACTATAGACTAGACTATAGACTAGACTATAGACTAGACTATAGACCTAGACTATAGACTAGACTATAGACTAGACTATAGACTAGACTATAGACTAGACTATAGACTAGACTATAGACTAGACTATAGACTAGACTATAGACTAGACTATAGACTAGACCATAGACTAGACTATAGACTAGACTATAGACTAGACTATAGACTAGACTATAGACTAGACTATAGACTAGACTATAGACTAGACTATAGACTAGACTATAGACTAGACTATAGACTAGACTATAGACTAGACTATAGACTAGACTATAGACTAGACTATAGACTAGACTATAGACTAGACTATAGACTAGACTATAGACTAGACTATAGACTAGACTATAGACTAGACTATAGACTAGACTATAGACTAGACTATAGACTAGACTATAGACTAGACTATAGACTAGACTATAGACTATACTATAGACTAGACTATAGACTAGACTATAGACTAGACTATAGACTAGACTATAGACTAGACTATAGACTAGACTATAGACTATACTATAGACTAGACTATAGACTAGACTATAGACTAGACTATAGACTAGACTATAGACTAGACTATAGACTAGACTATAGACTAGACTATAGACTAGACTATAGACTAGACTATAGACTAGACTATAGACTAGACTATAGACTAGACTATAGACTAGACTATAGACTAGACTATAGACAAGACTATAGACTAGACTATAGACTAGACTATAGACTAGACTATAGACAAGACTATAGACTAGACTATAGACTAGACTATAGACTAGACTATAGACAAGACTATAGACAATGCTATAGACTAGACTATAGACTTGACTATAGACTAGACTATAGACTTGACTATAGACTCGACTATAGACTAGACTATAGACTAGACTATAGACTAGACTATAGACTAGTCTATAGACTAGACTATAGACTAGACTATAGACTAGACTATAGACTAGTCTATAGACTAGACTATAGACTAGTCTATAGACTAGACTATAGACTAGACTATAGACTAGACTATAGACTAGACTATAGACTAGACTATAGACTAGACTATAGACTAGACTATAGACTAGACTATAGACTAGACTATAGACTAGACTATAGACTAGTCTATAGACTAGACTATAGACTAGACTATAGACTAGACTATAGACTAGACTATAGACTAGACTATAGACTAGACTATAGACTAGACTATAGACTAGACTATAGACTAGACTATAGACTAGACTATAGACTAGACTATAGACTAGACTATAGACTAGACTATAGACTAGACTATAGACTAGACTATAGACTAGACTATAGACTAGACTATAGACTAGACTATAGACTAGACTATAGACTAGACTATAGACTAGACTATAGACTAGACTATAGACTAGACTATAGACTAGACTATAGACTAGACTATAGACTAGACTATAGACTAGACTATAGACTAGACTATAGACTAGACTATAGACTAGACTATAGACTAGACTATAGACTAGACTATAGACCAGACTATAGACTAGACTATAGACTAGACTATATACTAGACTATAGACTAGACTATAGACTAGACTATAGACTAGACTATAGACTAGACTATAGACTAGACTATAGACTAGACTATAGACTAGACTATAGACTAGACTATAGACTAGACTATAGACTAGACTATAGACTAGACTATAGACTAGACTATAGACTAGACTATAGACTAGACTATAGACTAGACTATAGACTAGACTATAGACTAGACTATAGACTAGACTATAGACTAGACTATAGACTAGACTATAGACTAGACTATAGACTAGACTATAGACTAGACTATAGACTAGACTATAGACTAGACTATAGACTAGACTATAGACCAGACTATAGACTAGACTATAGACTAGACTATAGACTAGACTATAGACTAGACTATAGACTAGACTATAGACTAGACTATAGACTAGACTATAGACTAGACTATAGACTAGACTATAGACTAGACTATAGACTAGACTATAGACTAGACTATAGACTAGACTATAGACTAGACTATAGACTAGACTATAGACTAGACTATAGACTAGACTATAGACTAGACTATAGACTAGACTATAGACTAGACTATAGACTTGACTATAGACTAGACTATAGACTAGACTATAGACTAGACTATAGACTAGACTATAGACTAGACTATAGACCAGACTATAGACTAGACTATAGACTAGACTATAGACTAGACTATAGACTAGACTATAGACTAGACTATAGACTAGACTATAGACCAGACTATAGACTAGACTATAGACTAGACTATAGACTAGACTATAGACTAGACTATAGACTAGACTATAGACTAGACTATAGACTAGACTATAGACTAGACTATAGACTAGACTATAGACTAGACTATAGACTTGACTATAGACTAGACTATAGACTAGACTATAGACTAGACTATAGACTAGACTATAGACTAGACTATAGACTAGACTATAGACTAGACTATAGACTAGACTATAGACTAGACTATAGACTAGACTATAGACTAGACTATAGACTAGACTATAGACTAGACTATAGACTAGACTATAGACTAGACTATAGACTAGACTATAGACTAGACTATAGACTAGACTATAGACTAGACTATAGACTAGACTATAGACTAGACTATAGACTAGACTATAGACTAGACTATAGACTAGACTATAGACTAGACTTAGACTAGACTATAGACTAGACTAGACTAGACTAGACTAGACTATAGACTTGACTATAGACTAGACTATAGACTAGACTATAGACTTGACTATAGACTAGACTATAGACTAGACTATAGACTAGACTATAGACTAGACTATAGACTAGACTATAGACTAGACTATAGACTAGACTATAGACTAGACTATAGACTAGACTATAGACTAGACTATAGACTAGACTATAGACTAGACTATAGACTAGACTATAGACTAGACTATAGACAAGACTATAGACTAGACTATAGACTAGACTATAGACTAGACTATAAACTAGACTATAGACTAGACTATAGACAAGACTATAGACTAGACTATAGACTAGACTTTAGACAAGACTATAGATTGTAGACTAGACTATAGACTATAAAAGTTCCCGGTCATAGATTACACTAGTTTACAAATTCCTTCTTACAGAATTCCAGTCACTCCGAAGCCAGAATGTTTAATTTTATGTTTTTATACTATGTTCACATATACGTGTTTTTGAAACACATCATGTTTCTTCAAAAAACACCCCAAATTCGAATTGTTTTCCCATATATTTTTCAAATTCAAAAACATCTCAATTGACGTGTTTAGTTATAAAACACATAATGATTTTCAGAACAGGAATGATTTTTTCCGTACTTATGTTTAATAAACACAGCTAGAACAAAAAGTAATGTCAAAACCAAAAATTTAATTTACAAAAAGTATAAATTTTGATGTTTAAACAATTTTAAAGTCTTTTAATTTAATAAACAATTGTGTTTAAATCATAAATTCGGTGTAATTTAAGTTAGTTTCTTTATTTTAAAAAGAAAATGTTTTATTTGGAAAAACATTTAAAAGCAAAAAACACGATAATTTAATATGTATGTGAACGCTTGTGTTAAACTCTTTGTGTTTTCCAAAAAACACGTTAAAAACATGACTATGTGAACTTATTATTAGTTTCATGGAAAATGTACCAAAAACTGGTGCTTTATACTGGAGTTAAAAAATCACCATAATTAGCATATTTAGTGTTAGTAAATCTATCAGTTTTAAAAAATTTATCAAAATTGGATCAAATAATTTTCAGTTTCATTTATAAATAAAAATTTTATTACTATTTAAAATTTTTTCATTCAAATCGGACTAACCGTATAAAAGATACATATTTGCTTTTATCCCACTGTGCAGCGATGAAAAATTTACGAACACAGCTGGCGTAACAGTCGATTTTAAGTCGCCGCCGAAGTTTTTAGTGTCAGCCGCCGTTGTCGTCAAATTTTATCGGCGCAGGTCTCTTTGTTTGCCGCTGCATCATCTTGCAAAAATAGTTTTTGTGTTTTTTTCTTAAATTTGCAAATTAATCAAATTTTTCATATTAATTTTTATACTTAAAAAATTTAAAATTGTACTATTATTACTTAAATCAGCGAAAAGTTAAGCAATAAAAATCCATTCAAAATGTCTTTTACACTAGACAATTACAAATTAAGCTGTGAGCTTTTGGGTCACAGTATGGATGTACGTTCTATAGCCACGGGAGCTACGCTGGCGGAAGGTGGCCAAATGATTATTTCGGGTTCGAGAGATAAAACTACCAAATTGTGGAAACCTTTAGATGAAGGCTACATTGAAGCGGTTACACTGCAGGATCATAAAAACTTTGTGGCCTGTGTATTTTACTGTGAACGAGAACGTTGGTTATGTACGGGCAGTAATGACGCCACGGTGTGTATATATCAGGAGAATAGTTTATTGCCCATACTCACTTTAAAGGGCCATGAGTCCACGGTGTGCTCCATAGCATCTGGTGTTGAACCTCAGACTCTGATTACTGGCAGTTGGGATAAAACGGCACGTATTTGGTCCATTGATCAGGATGGTGGTATTACTTTTGTAGAACTAAAAGGACATGAAGCCGCCGTTTGGGCAGTGGCTTCTATGGCGGAGAGTAAGAAGTATATAACCGGTTCTGCCGACAAGAATATATTTTACTGGAATGCCAAAGGCGAAAAATTACGCATGCTCAAAGGTCACACTGATTGTGTTAGAGGCATATTGCCGTTAAGCAATGGTGGCCTAATATCATGTGCCAATGATGCCATTATACGTGTGTGGAATGAAGATGGTGAATGTGTACAGCAAATGAGTGGTCATACTAATTATATTTATGCTGTAGCTCAACAAAAAGCTTTAGCTCTGGATTGTGTGGTATCCTGTGGTGAGGATAGCTCCTTGCGCATGTGGAATATAACAACCGGACAAGAAGTGGGAGCCGCTCTAATACATCCAGCTCAATCTGTATGGTCTGTGACATGTCTAAGTAATGGTGACATTGTTACGGGCAGCAGTGATGGTGTGGTAAGGGTGTTTACCAAAGATCCTCAGCGTATGGCCAGTGAAGCCGTGCTAAAAGCCTATGAATTGGCTGTGGAAACTAGAAAACAGCAAATGTCCGAAGAACTAGGAGGTGTAAAAAAGACTGAGTATAAACAAGTTTTTTTATCTTAAACTTTATTTAACGGAAATTTTCTGAATTCTCATTGCAATAGCCTGCCGGGACCGGAAGCTTTACTTACTAATGGCACGCGTGAAGGACAAACAAAAATGGTTAGACATGCTGATGGTTCGGTTAAATGTTATAGTTGGGAATTAGGCAAATGGAATTTAGTAGGTGATGTTACCGGAGCTTCAGGCGGATCTCAAGCTTCATCGGGTAAATCTTTATACGAGGGCAAGGTATGTTAAGATAAATTATTAGTATAAAAAGATGATTACTTAAAAATATTATTTTTAACGTCAGGAATATGACTATGTATTTTCTGTGGATATATCCGATACTGAGCCTCCATTAAAATTGCCCTATAATCGTGGTGAAGATCCTTGGCATTCAGCTCAAGCCTTTATACATCGCAACAATTTACCTCAGGTTTATTTAGATCAAGTGGCCAATTTCATTATTAAAAATGCTGATAGTGCACCAGTACAAGTTAATGCTACCACTGGGTAAGTAGTACACTTACGTTTCTTTTATATTTAAAATGATTGCAATTTTATTTTTTTTCGTAGCGCCTATCAGGATCCATTTACTGGTGGCAACCGTTATGTACCCGGTTCGAGCAATAGTAACTTTCAATCAACCGGTAATGCTGATCCCTTTACCGGAGGTTCGAGTTACACCACTGCCGCCGCTAATCAACCAAAAGTCGACGTGAATTTTGTTAAAGGTTTAGATTTTGTATTTTTATTTTTTGAACAAATTTTAATTTTATTTTTATTGGTTTTCCAGGCGATAAACATTTTCCCATTAGCACATATTTAACTTTTGATAATTGTGATCCTTCGAAAGTTTTGGAAAAACTCAAGTAAGTTTTGCAAGTAAATTCATCTTCAGCATGTACTATAATGCCGAATGCCACCCTTAAACCTATAAGGAATTTTTAATATATTTATTTATAACGATACAGTTAACTTAATAATAAATATTTCTTTCAGAGAATTTAACAATAAACTGCCAGCAACCAACGAAAAAGTATCTGATAATCTATTAGAATCTGTCATAAGATTAACGGATGCTACCCCAGACGTGGATCAAACTGCTATTGAAGCTTTGCAGATATTATTAAGATGGCCAAGTGGTAAGAAATATTGTTAAAAACGTTTATATATAAAAATACTTAACAATTAATATTTCTTCACAGAATTACTATTTCCCGTTATCGATATTGTTCGTCTGGCCGTACGAAGTGAAGCAGTGTTTTCTCTACTAAATTCTATGAATTTTCTAGATGCTTTACTTCAACACTTAACCACTTCAGTTCCCAATCAGTTAATGATAATACGCTGTTTGGCCAATATAATGAAACATGAGGCGGGCAGGCAACAGGTAGACAAACGCTTGGCTCCCTTAATTGAGCATATTAATGGCATTAAATCTGGAAGCAATAATTTACAAATCGCTATAGCAACATTCTATTTAAATCTAACTACAACTCAGACCACGGCAGTGGCAAATGGTGAAAAATGTCGTATGGCCACTGAGGGTTTGGTCGAGTTTCTAAAATGGGCCACCGATTTGGAGGCCTGTTATCGTTCCATGCAGGCTATAGGTAATTTAACTACCACACCTTTTGGTCAGGAGGCCTCGGCATTAGTCATATCAGTTGACTATGTTATGGACAAACTAAGAGAGCTAACGAATACACCACAGGCTGGTGTCTTTGCTAAAATTAATTCTGCTGGTACAGCATTATTAGCAGCATTCTAAGGGCAGCTTCCCTAGTATTCCCATGAAAGTGAGGAAAATGAATACCAATTGTAGCTTTTTGAATATTTTTCTTATATTTTCAAGTAATCGTTTTATGCCCATATTTAAACATCAACCTTATATTATAATCATCTTATTAAATTGGTTTAACTAAATTAAATAAAAACAAATTAATAATACTTGCAGTTTTCTAATTTTGTGTTCATTTTCGTCTTCAATATTTTGTTAATATGGGGTTTATATATCAGTTTAATATAATAATTTTAATAATAGCAAGATGGGTTTTAAATCTATGATATAATAACTACTTTATATATGTATTTATTTATTATAAATATGTATTAGATCCACTTTTGGGGAATGTTATCTACTTAGATTCATTGTTCACTTCCATTTTGGAGCTGTCGTCAGATGGTTTTCTTTGCCGTATCCGTTGTAGTAGCTCCTCCTTCCAGCGTTCTTCGGGTACACCGGCTGCCCATTCAGGCACGGCTAAATTGGGTAATTGAAAATTGGCCATAGCATTTAAAATCTGCAAAGAAATTCAAAATTATTGTTTAATGTTCCCAACCGTTTTAAAAATCATCTCAAATTGAATGAAAACATTTAAAATGATTTCGAAGTTGCCCATTGCTGTGAGAACAAACGTTTCAATAGTATATGTTTCAGCTTTAAAATGCTTTTCGAAATAGACCTATGAAAGCTGGGTACCATTATAAACCACACCCACATACCTGCTGCGTTTTATTGCCATCCAATTCAATCTGTAACTCCTGTGGTCTTGGTTGACTCCAAATTGCTCTTTCGATTTCCGCATCGGCAGTTTCTATTTGAGGCATATTGGGATCACCATGCACCACTTCCAACGGCTCATCTTCATCCAAGTTCCTGTTCTCCTGTATTCTAGTAAAACCTTCTCTATTATGATGAGCATCATTAACATCGTCGTCATCATCATGAGCATTTAAGCGCATATGACCATAATCAATATTATTCTCATCCATTGACAAGGGTTGATAACCTTCATAGGCGCCTGCATCTTGTAGAGATTCATTATCATCACTATCGTCACTGGGTGCGGGAGGATGGTGTACAATATGTGTGGTACGTAAATCCTCTTCTCCAGGATCGTTTGGTAATTCGGGAGCTCCCATATTTATATATATTTTTAGAAAATGGGAGTTTTTTTTGGCTTTTATTTTAACGTAGAATTAATCACAGATTGTAAAAGTTATTTTTGTTATGATTAGAGCCCTGAGCCAACAAATATTAACTGAGACGGCGGCTGACACAAAAAATGTCGCCAGCGACTTAAAATCGACAGTA